TGAGGGCATCGCAACCTATGTTGTTATATAATAGTTGTAATTGCGCGGCACTGTGAATTTTCTTTTCAGAAAGTTGTGCAAAAAAATCTTCCCAAACTTTAGGTTAAATTACTTTTAACATTTTTCACGTTAAGTGGAAATTTACTTATTTGTTATTCCCTCCGCTGTTCCGTGCGTCAGCGAATTCGTTCGGCTAAGTTTATTTAAACTTTCATTAAACCATAGACATAGCGAATAAGGTGGAATAAGTAGGGATGAAATGATAGCAAAGAATGATAGAAAGAAACCGACACACCACACAGCCAGAGAGACGATTTAGTTAGACAAATAGTTGATAAGTGTTTCTCGGTCGTGATTATTATTTCGAGACTAATAGAAAAATTAAAGGAAAAAATGTTTTCTTTTTTCTTTTTACTACAACCGCCATAGAAAGCAAAATAATTATGTCAAATGTATTTAGCTAACGGAAGCAAGCGTATGTATGAAAGATACCTTAACTTATACCTTCAAGTCATTTCCAATCAGGGATACGTTTGGTCACTGCTTTTGTTTTTTTTGTCTTTTACCTGAAAACAGTATCACGATGTCTTCAATTTTCATCTAGAATACGAAAAGTGAATTGACGATTCTCTCTCTGCTCGATTGAAAAAATATTGCACACACATATCACTGCATAATGAATTAAGCATTGAAACTTTTGTGAATCTCGCCTTGAATGCATTAAAAGTGGTGGTAACCGTCGCATATGTTAGATTAAGTTTTAGCCAGTTTTAGTAGTGGCAACTATGTTAACGTTACAGCTTATCTAAGACCGAACATATGTGAATAGTTCTACCGCTCGTACTTAGCATGGTCCGCAGTGGTTTATATTGTTGTCTAGCTTCGAAATTATTATTATTATCCTTTTCTTGTTTTTTTTTTTTTTTTTTGCAAAAAGACATCAAAAAAAGACATAGTGAAAGAATCAGTTTGATCCGAGAAAGATATATTTTTTGTTGTATTTTTACAAATATATTATAGGAACAGTATCTTGTTTTTCCTTTTTGATCAAGTTTTGCAAACGTTAACTTTTAAATGCTGTTTTTGTTAATGTTGCGGTTAATTAAAAGTTTTCAACCGCACAACTTCAAAGTTGAGGTTTGGAAAGTGAAAAAATAGCGAAACTAAGAAGAAAAAAAATGCAAACTCAAAACTCATATTTAGTTTAAGTCGAATATTTTGTTCTCCTCTCAAACGGCAATTAATTTAAACCTTATCTACCGTTCGCTGTTAACATTATTTTACGGTCAGTGTAACTATTATTGCCTGGCATAATGTGATTGAGTTCCTAATCGTAGGAATCATGTTTACTTTAGAGATAGTTTGCCTCGTTTCTAGGATTAGGTTTTCGTGACGTACTGTTCAAGTAGCCGGACGCAGTTAAAATAGCGTATCAAATAAATTATTATTTCTATCTCTCTCTCTCTCTATATATATATATATATATATATATATGTATACATATCTCATACGAGTGGATAAAGTTCATACAACGTATTTACTCATCGAGTTGTCTGATGCGCAAAAAGGTAGCCACAAAGGTTCACGTCACATTGCATATAATAAAACCAAAATTCGCTATATTTTTCCAGGCAGTTGTTCTGAACCCATTATTATTATTATTATTATTATCATTATTTTCATTACTGCTTTACTTTACTTTATAGCTCGACTTTTCCTTGTATAATTCAGTTCACAAATAACTTTGAGAATATTCAACCGTTTTTCTTTGCTTTTCTCTTTTCACTTTATATGATTTACATATCAAGATTATTTTTAATATGATTATTTATTTTTTTACATATTTTTTCTCATTCTACTTTTCTTAGGCCAATCAAAGAAAATCAGGTTTAATGTTGTCATGGTAGCAAGCGCTCATTTGTGCGGCATTGCATAGAGCATTCCATCGCCAAACTTAACAACGATCAAAAAAAGAAAAAAGTAAAAAACGCAATAAGATGTAGGAGAAGTGAAAAAAACGTTGCACCTATCTTGGAGCAATAGCCTCTTCGTCCACCCTTGTCGACACCAAACTCTAAAACTTCTCAAATCAATTCGGAAAAATGTATAATATTTTTAAATTGTGAACGGGTCAGTTGATCGTTTGAAACTCCGTTTGCACTATCCTTTTTATCGACGCTAGCAAGGAATGCTTTATAAAATTGTCATCTCATAATCTCTTACATGTCACAGAAAAGCCGAATTTTTTCCTATTGCGAGTGCGCTTGTAGGCCGATCAAATCATTGGACTCTGATTGCAATTAAATTCTTTGCTTCGAGTTTTAAATAAATATCCGGCAGCATATATATATATATATATATATACATATATATGTATAGTTTCGGATGGACTTTTGGTTTTTGCCGGTCATCTACTGCCAATATATAAGCCACGTTTCGTGTAGGTGTCTAAACTTTGCGGTCTTTACGATTTCCGCTATCGGCAAGAGATAGATGGGCAGACAGGCGGACTAATCGATCCTAAATTGATTTCAGATTTTACGATAGATGCAAAATTTGTGAACTTAATAAGGTTGTTTGTTGTTGTGTTTGTTTTCAATGTTACAAATGGCAGAATAAATCTAGTATATCTGCTTGCTTGCGTAGGGGCAATAAAAAATATATTTAAAGTAATTGGTTTCTTGCTGCATTTCGTCAAGTGCGTACTATTGAGTTTTCTAGTTGCACAAATAAATATATTGCAGATCTGAAGAAAAGTAAAATAAATAAATAAAGAGAGGAATTTATTGCAATTATAAATAAACGGTATCGCAACATATTCAACTCTGCGAACATGTGCTAATTTCTGTTAGGAAAGCGTACGAACCTGAAGAATTCTCTTAGACTCAACGATATTTCCGGAGGCAAGGCCAGCGGGATTTTTGAGTTCGGGCCAAGTCTTACTACGTTTTTCTTTTCCTAAAACCGAGCCAACGCTATTGAAACGAATTATTCGTATTATTCGTTTTTCTACCAACTTATCATTAATTGAAATCAATTTTCAATCAAGTTAACTGGCACTTTTTAGCAAGAGGGATTTGGGATAGACGCGTGGGAAATGCATTGAATCGAATTATGTTTACTACTGCACTTCATAGACGGCAGTTATATGAGAAATATTTTCGATTTTCAACACTCCTCAACATGAATTCTTCGAAAATAATATTTTAACATGACCTACTACTATATGAATGTTGAAAATTTGGTCGTATACCCTCCCTCTCTCTCTCTCCTATATAATCCCACTTTAGCCTTTATATGATAGCATGCGTTAGATGATCAAAATTACAGAATAATTGAATTGGATAGGGTGGTTTGCCTTTCTTCGAAAACGTCCTATGTAACGAGTTTCATAAAAACTAAGCAAAAATCAACAAGTTCGGATATATTATGACACAGCCAGGTAAAAATTATTTCGCTAAGATATCTTAAACATCTAAGACGTCTAAAATTTTCCCAAATGCCATTATATGCCTTTTTTTACGCTACTTGGGATGTTCAGAATGTTTAGTTAAATCAATGCTTCCGCGCTTGATGTTAACTGTGCAATTCATTCGCTACGCAAACTTATATATGAATTATGTTAAGACTCTGTAAATGTCTCTTAGTTTGTTGATCAGTTTGAAGAATCTTCTTGAAAATTATGAAATGTTTATTAACCTAATAGTGATAGCGAGTGACGCGATCCAATATAGGAGAAAGTAAAATCGTCGATTACCTTTCCAATAGCATTTCGCATTCACGATATGTGCAGCCTTTCTAGCGAATTTACGGCAATTTTCGACGTTTACTCGATCGGGAAACAAACTTCCTATGCTATGAGGAATTTTCGCTTAATTAATTTTCGAAAAACTTGCACCATTTTCATATGTAACCGTTTATTTAATGCTTGTTAAATGAAAGCATTGCTTTGCGTTAATGCATACGCTTTTTGTTAATTCAGTTAATTCAATTCTCTTTCACACAATTTGTCTAGAAAATAATTCATTTAATGATCACAAGTTTTTTCTTTATGAAAAAAATTATTTGAATAAAAATGAAGTAAGTAAGAGAAGGCAAACGAACACTAGACTTTAATTAAAGCATGAAAAGAAAATCCTTTAGCCACCATTAGTTTTTTACTATAAATGCTGGTTATATGCCCCTCTGTATGTGTGTGTGTGTGTGT